AACAGTGGCTCTAGATAGGGGTTTTCACCATAGTTTCTCCTGAACACTTGGAAGGCCAGTGGCATTCCGTAGGTTGCAATATGCAATTTTACCACTAGATGTCACTAAATCCTTTACGGTGGTCCTTTTTTAAATGTAATGATACATGCAGTAGTTGAGCAATAGCTTGAAACACATTACAGAGCAAATTACTAAACAGTGACCATATTAGGTGAGATTCATTAGAATTTGTAGAAAATGCACTGCAATAAACGTAACAATAAAACCTCTTCCACCACAGCAATAACTAAATAATAATACATTTGGCCTCCACATTGGGATTAAAGTATTTTTGCTCAGGCAGTTACTGCCTGTCTGTTGTAGGTATGGTGTATGGGACAGGGATACTGCTCATTGTGAGTACAGTTGTAGAGTTTTTATGTCGCCACATTCGCTCTAAAATGGGAGATTTGGAGCACAGAAAAAATATAATTTGCAAGCAAATCAATTATATTTTAAAGAGAACGGCCATGGATTTTTTTTTTATGCACTGTTATCTCGTGATAACAACTTATTAATTCGTTATCTCGAGATAACCGATTAACAAAGTTTGTTTCTGGTACCGGTAAATTTACACTTTACGTTGGTTTGTTTACTGGAAGCCATTGTTGGGCAGCTCTTTGTAGGTTGAAATCCAAGATGAACACATTATTAATTAATTAGTTATCACGAGAAAACGATCTTTGTTATATCGAGATAACGAGATAATAAGTCGTTATCACGATATAACAAAAAAAAATCCATGGCCGTTCTCGGCTTCCGTAGCAAATCCCTTTTGTAAAACTATAAATTTAGGAGTAATCTTAGAACAAGAAAACTGAATTTGTAGCTAACACTATTATCATCATAATAAAATATTACATATATAAATGTTGTTTTACTACAGCCACCCTACAGTGTAAGGCACAAAAACTAACCTATGTCAGGAATATTTATATCTAAATATTTACTCTAGCCCCTTGCTCAATCCCTTACTTTTATTTACTTTAAGCGCTCAACTGTGTCTATATTCCATCCCTTATGTTATTGTATTATTTCAAAATTTCAAACCTATTTGTTTTCTTTTTATTTTCTACAATGTCTATTTTGTTGTTACTTCCTGTGAGTAATTGGTGGTAAAATATACTGTTTGTATAAATGGAAAACTTCCTTTCTAAGGAGGTGTGATTCTGTTACGGGGAGGAAACCTTGCTTGAATTGTACAGCAATGAGTTTATCATTGAGATTATTATCCAGATGTTATAAATAAAGCTGTTTTTAAAAAATGCCTTGGTTAAATGCAGTCAGATTCTCTCAGCACCACTCTTGACCTCACAATGTTTTCCATTGAGGTCAACGCAAATTGGGAATTATGAAAGGACAGAGAATGTGTGGCTCCAAAGTCTTGCTTTTTACATGGTCGATCTATCAGCAACAATATCAGACAAATAATTGAAATTATCTTAAAATCTTGTCCAAAATAACCTAGGAAAAATTACTGAACCTAAATTTGATTAATTAGTAAGAGCACTACAACTTAAGATCACTAGAGCAGATTCTGATGTAAGTTTATATGTTATGTTTGTCTTGTCTTACTTTGTCTACCATGGTGTGAAAGTAATAGTGAGCTGGCTGAGCCTTAGAGGTGAGGTAACTAAATGCAGTTTATTAGAGGAATAATATCGATATTAAGAAGGAAAAGCCAGATTAACTGAGGAAGAAGTAAAGGAAAAAGGCAAAAAAACTAAATGTACTGTGTACACAGAGATTCTGAGAGTTAAGAAGACAGAAAAGAGTTATAAGCCGGCACAGCTTCTGTGGTTGTCTAGGAGAGGGTGCCAGGGTGCTCCAGAGACTTCATCTCTCACTTCAAGGGGTCTAATCGGGTAGTGGAGCTGTCAAAATGTCGCACCTGCGGATGACTGTTCATCTCTGCAGTACTGCAGCCATTTGTTGCACTGCTTCAGGGAGAGAGAGGGCTGAATGGGCAGGGGGCGTAAATTGAATAAAGTTGCAACTACATGCAACTACTTGCTTGGTGGCCTACAGGACTGCAATGGCGTTACTGGCCAGAAGGAGGTAAATAGGGCTTGTACATAGTAGAAGTAGAATACAGAGAGGAGTTAGAAGTCATGACTTTAAAAAAAAGAATATATATATATTTATGATTGTAATTATAACTTGTCTCTAACAAGAAGACCTGATCACGACAACAGCAAAAAATAATTGTATTTTGCTTTAACTTGCTGCTGATTCACTGTGGACTCCTTGTCTAATCTTGGATGAACCTCTACATGTAGCAAGGACATTGTACAGAACATGTATATTAATAGAATGTGTTATAGTATCCAGCAACACAGTTGGTATACTTGAGAGAGTGATAGCTGAGATGGATTTTTTTTTCTCCCCATGTCCTATTTCTTTCCCATCTACACTGTAAAAAAAAAGTTGAAAAAAAAAGTAAGTTTTAAGTCAAACTCTTTTTAAATGAGCTACTAATAATCAGTGCCAGTTTAATTTTCATCTTGAAAAAACTTCAATCTTTAATTCTTTTTTTGAAACAAATACAAACTGGCATCTGTGTTTTTGAGTAAAATGTCTCAACAACTGTGGGGTGGGTTGCCATGAAATTGGCTACACACATTCGAGACCCATTCAAGATAAATTGTAACCACTTTGGTTACCACTTAACTGTGTGTTTATTCCCAATTAGCAAATGTTAGCATGCTAACATGCTAAACTAAGATCCAAAAAGATTGTAGATACTTTCTGTTTCACAAGGACTTGTAACACTTTTGGAAGAACTAACTTTGGGTTGCCAAGTCGTGAGAAATCTCTTTAGGGGACTTTCATCTTTGTAATGTTTGTAAGTCAGTAATAAAGGCTTAACACTGAGTCTGAACCTTCTGGCTGGCTGGGGCCTTTCTGTGTGGGTTTTTTATCTGCATGGTGCCTGTAAGGTTGACTGATTGTCCATAGGTGTGAAATAATGTTATTTGTTTCACCAGTGCCAGCCTAACTCATACAGATCTTCACTGGTCAACTAAAAACTTTTGAATAAATTCCAAAGAAACAGAACAACACCATCCATTAAAGCAACTGTGGAAATGTAAAATAGCACAGCATTGTTGGGTTTCCACAGAAATGCTGCAGATTGCTCAGTTTCTTCCAGTGTTAACTCCTTTCCCCCACTTTTCTCCCTCTTTTCGCTCATAATCCGTCCTCCATCTCTCCTCCCCTTTTCCTCCACCCCTCCTCTCCACCTCCTCCCCTCTGCTCTCTCCTCTTCTTACTTCCCTGCAAGCGGCTTCCTCACACATCGCAGAATGGAGGAGAGGGGTGAGGAGACGTTGGCTTTCTCTGTCAGGGTCTTCACTCTGAAGGAGGAGGCGAGGGCTGAGGAGGAGCACATGGAGACACACGAGGAGGTAACAGTGGAGACTGCAGAGGGCGCTGCTCTTCTTAACTGGGTTGTGACTTTATGAGATGCATTTTAAGTAAATAAAGCTGTTTTAGGGTTTGAGTTAATTTATGCACTTTAATCTGCAGCTATGTAACTAGTGTGTTCTGGTTTAATGCAGTTGGAGCTGGTAAGCGCATGAAAGGTGCAAAATGAAAAAGATTGAGTTGTGTTTATATGCAGTATAAAGTAAAGTTATATAAATGTATATATGTAGTCTGTTTATTTGCTGCTATTAGTTGAAACCTGATTTCTCAAATATCTTGTTTTCAAGAAATACATTTTACTATATGTGAAATGTTCCAGTGGAGTAACCCGTACTGGATCAAAAATTGTGGTTCATAAAATGCTGTGTTAAATTCCCCCTCCAGCCTTCTTGTTCCTACAGTGTGATATATGAGCTTCACGTGCAGAATGATGTATGTGCAGAGACACTAGAAGGATGCCTGTCCAGGGAATGGATCTAACAGGGTAGCATGGGGAGGCCAGTTTGATGTCAAATGCTGTCAAATTTAACGATTAATTTTTAAAAGAATGTATTAAAAATGGGCAATTAATTTAATTATCTGTCATAGCCACATTTTAGACTATGTGATCAGCTTAAGTTCAATGAAAAAAGACTAGTATTTGTAAAAGTATAAAAACAAAATGTAGGTTGATTTCTGAGACAATATGAAAATTTCATGTCACAATTATCCTAGCCAAAATAATTACGGTTCACAATATTATGGCGTAATCATCAAAAACATACTGGAATCACTTTACCTCACATTTGGTTAAGAAACAAATACTATTGTTGCATCACAGATAGGACACCTTAGCTAGGAATTACCTGTCATTCTTTAGTTTGGAATCTGTAGTGTTTCCACACATTGGGTTTAACTTTCTTTGTAGGGATACAATGGGAAAGCTGAGCTTACAGCCAAGGTGACAAGTTTAGGATTTTGGAAGGATGCAGGCTCCCCCTTGTGACAAATCAAAAGTAATCAAGAAATCAATGTTAGACAGCTATTTCAAGTCAGTGAGGATATTCACGATTATCCCAATAATGCCCACAATAGACTTAACTGAGTGTTTTTTAATAATAATAATATCATATATCATCCCATCCCTAGTGCCACAGTAATGTGCTGTTTCTCTTCATTTGGAGGCTTTTTCAAACAAATATTGATTCTATGCAATTCAATATTTCTACCACCCCTTTAACTAACCTAACTTGTGGGAGTAGCACCTGCACTTATTCCAGTTACTTCCACTAATGCTTGTGTAGCAAGTCTCGCTACTATCGTGGGTTCTCTCAGCACACACACCCACAACACAGGTTAGTAGTCCAGACCACTTTATTTATTTCTCCGCCACACACACACACACTATTCACACAACACTTAGCCTGCTTCAAAAGCCCATGAAGCTTTTCTCCAGTTGTCCTTCCTGTTGTGTGTGTCAGCCCTCCTAAGTCCAGCACACTAAATGAGGTGAGTGTGATTACTCAATGAGTACCAGCTGAGATAATCAACTCACCTGGCGCTGCTCTCACAAGCCTTCCCCACACCTCTTTCTCCTGCAGCTCATTGTAAACCACATCCACCTCCACAGCTTGTTTTGGTGATGATTTGGAAAAATAGTGTTTAATCAAAATCACACTTAGGCTTTAAAAGTGTTATTTGTGTGTGTGTTTATTTACCTGACTGACAAGCGTCTCAGCCTATCACAATCATTCTTGCTTGTCGTACCTCAGGCTTCCTCCTCTTTGCCCAGATTAACCTCTGGATAGGCAGTGTGGTGTAGTTTGGTTTGATTTGATGACATGATCCAGTGTGTTGTGTTGTGAAGGAGGTGCGGGTCCAGGAGGAGGTGAGCAGGGAGCAGCAGGTCAGTGTGTGCAGAGAGAGAGCAGAGCAGGAGCTTACTGTGCTCCTCACCACAGGACAGGAGGCTCAGCAGCTCACTGTGCAGGATGGTGAGAGCACACCCACACACACACCCACACACACACACACACACACACCATACATACATACATACATACATACATACATACGTACATATGCTACGCTTGTCCTTCAGATAATACCAGGGACAGAGGCTGTATAAGTGGAAAAAGTGTGCCACCAGTGTACCAGAAATGGAATTTTAGAGTCATGATGGACACCTGATCATAATTAATATCAGCTATTTTACAGAAATACTATTACCAAATTGTGTGTAAATAAAAGTATTCATTATGCAGAATGGCTTTTTCCAGAGTGTTATATCATTATATATCAAACGATTTGATTATTATTAATGTTTTAGCTGGTTGGTCAAGATGTTTTAACGCCTATGTACACTGTTGGGAAGTTCAATCTATTACAGTGTATTGTATCTTAGAACATAGTCACAAATCTCCATCATTAATTATTGTGTCCTGAATGTCTTTACTTAAAATATGTTTTAAGTTTTCTAGAATAATGTCTCTCAGAAAAGGGCAGAATGCTAAAGATAAATAATACTTATAATAAAGAATAGAATAATAATAATAATAACGTTTGTATTGTAAAAATACAATAATATGAGCAGAATAGAAGCTATAAAATAATTTTTTAATAAATTAAATAAAATACAATAAAGTAAAAAGACAGCATCATAAAAAGGAAAGTTTATAAAATGAGTTCTAAGAAGTGATTTAAAAGAAATAACTTATTCTGTAAACCTAATCTCCTCAGGCAGGTTGTTCCAAAGCCGAGGGGCCCTGGTGGCAAACGCATGGTAAAATTTAAGCCTCGACTTTGGAACAGCCAGAAGGGCCCCAACTAAAGGTCTAAGGCTGCGAACTGACTCTATGGGTTAACATTTCTGCTATGTAGTTTGAGGCCAGACCCAGATATGCTTTAAAAGTGATCAGTAAAATCTTAAAATCAATTCTAAAATGAACAGAGAGCCATTGGAGAGAAACCAGGATTGGTGTGATGTGATGTCGTCTGTTAAAACCATTAAGAAGCCTAGCTGCTGCATGCTGAACCATGTCTATGTTTGCTTGTCTTCTTCTTCCCTGACTATGCTGGTGCATTGTTGTGTTTCCGGGCACGTTATTGTAATTTTGCTATTGGCAGGAACTGTGTATTTCACTGCCCTTGTGTGTATATACGAGATACAAACCACTCTCTCATAAAAAATATGCTCCATAGATCTGGTAGTACCTGTAACACAGATACTGTAATAATGATGACTTTGACATAAAGATACAAAAAAAATATATAAAGCTTGGACAGATTAATGGTGTCAAACTTCATGTGTCATGTATTTGTGTCTGTGGTTTAAACCAATATTTTTTCAGCCAACAGAGCATCAGTCTTCCAATTTACTGTTTCCCATGAGATGGACTGTTGCCAGGTCGGAGGTCAGTCCTTCCTCTTCACTGTCGGCAAGCTGAGTCTTCTGCTGAAATTCAAAACTCCAGCTGGTTTGTACATGTTCAATATGCTTAAGTTCATACTGTTTATCATCCTGGGGTTTGGTTAAGTGTGCCAGGGGTTCAAACAACTTTCAAAACATCTCGTCATCTTCGGCTTTCCAGAGATGAAGGACTTTCAGCAGTTGTTGAAGAGAGGGGATGATGAAGAGATGAGGAAAGGTTGCACAGAAGGAGATGAAGCAGGAAACAAGGAGGCAGAGAGAGTCCAAACACCTTCTAGGAGACATCCCACTACATTTGAAACAAGTTCTAAAAATGCCCCTACACAGGGCTACCAGGTAATTCTGACTTTGCAGGTGCTAGGGATGAACAAATAAGTTTAAAAGAAATGACTTAAAATACAAATTGTCCATTGTTGTGTGTGTGTTTAGTTCCACAGCTGTGTGTCCCAGCAGCAGAGCCTGCTTCAGGACTACCTGAGGATCACCACCTACCAGAGAGCCATTTTGGTCAATGAGACTGATTTCAGAGACAAGGTGACAGCACAGAGACACGCTCCTCAAAACTTTTGGTGGAGACAGTGGCTTTAACCTGTTTATATAATAAAATCGGACCAGCTTCATGCCGAAGTGTGTAATAGACCCACTGATCCACCAGCAGATACTGTGTCAGTGTTAAAAGAACACAGATGTATAAAGAGCGACAAAGTCCACATTTGGAGGAGGTAGGGTGGATGGCTCAAACAAACACTGAACTTTCACCGCCAAAGAGCCAAAGACTCCCGTGTGAAACCATAAGTCAACGTTGATTTTGTTAGATTCAAACCAGATTATAAACACTTAAACAACCTGATTATGTAATTTCTTGTGTTTCTTGGACTGATTATATAACTGACCACAGTATTATCATAGCACACAGAGAGGATGGCTAAAACTCAAAAAATAAGACTTAAGATACAAATTTGGAATGATCCTTTTATGTGTGTGTGTATTTAATACGTTTCAGTTCCAGTTCTCCCTTTTGTCTTCCTGTCTCTGTAGGTGGTTCTGGATGTGTGTTGTGGTTCTGGTATTCTGTCTTTCTTTGCAGTCCAGGCAGGAGCCACAAGAGTGTATGCGGTTGAGTCTAGCCCCATGGCCAAATATACACAGGTCAGTAGATTTGAAGCCTCCATCCTCCATCTTTGTCCTCATATTGTTTTTCACCCGTTTTTAAACTGGTCTTCTTTTCTGCAAAAATTAAAGCATTATTTCTCTGTAACTAACAAGATTTGAATCTTCCAACTGTGAGTTAACATGCAGAGTTTGGAGAGTAATCTTATGTATTTCTTGGACTCGACAGAGCCTAAAGAAAAAACCGCAGCAAGGCACTAGATAGCACACACACACATCGAGTACATACATCACATGCAGAGCGTGGCATTCTGGGGAGTTAATGGGTTGCGGCAACATCTGGCCCAGAGTTCAGCAGGATAAGGGCTACAGAGAGATGCTAATGCACACAGTACTGGGTCTAGACCGATATTTGGGGGTTATATCTGCCTTTTATTAAACATTGATTATTAGCATGGTGTTAGATTATCTTGTACTTTAGACCACCACGTTTGAAAAGATGGAATAGTATTGATTTTGATAGTTATATTCTTTTGCAGGTTTTGAGATGTCTCTTTCCAAAAACTTTCCCTGTTCTGGAGAATTGACAGAATACACTGTCCATGGTTTTTATTGGACGTTCTTTCTGAAGAAACAGCCCCTATAAAATCTGTGTGTCCTGTGGATTATCCAGAGCAACCACAACATTGTTTCTGGAAAGACACTGAACTGTTGAATTGCATTTTTTAGTGTTGTGGACACAAACATCTTAATCTGAAAATACATATATAGACTAGACATACATACATACATACATATACAATACATATATAGACTAGACTATATATATATATATATATATATATATATATATTTATTGGGCATTCAGGGACCAAGCCTGTGGAAATAAAAACAGGCAGAATTTAACTACGACTGCCAATATGTATTTCAGCAAGAAACATCCGACCACTGAGCTAAACTTTCTGTTATGCACACTGTTAATGGTGGACAGAGGCTAAAAAATTATAAACCACAATCAACCACCTTTATCAATTCACTTGAACATTTGGAGTACATTTTGGTTGAATTCAGCTACTATCACTTCTCCATGGCAACGGTGGCCAGATATAAAAAAAAAACAAAAAATGCCACAATATAAATCTATAGGATTGCTACAGTATTTGTTTGTTTTCTATATTAAGTAAATTTAAGGATATCATTGAAAGAAGAAATCAAAATGGGAAAAACACTTCCGGAACCAGCAGCTCCTCCTACTAATAGAAGAAAAAGTTAATCTTTCTAGTAAAACATCTTCAACTCAACTCAAACATAGATGTTCCCAAAATAGGAAAATCAGAAAGAGCACTGACTAACACATTTTTGTTCCTACAACAGATTATAAAGCTTTGAATCAGACGGTCATGTCAAGCCAGTTAAATGTACGGCACAAATAACATAACAACTGGAAACCGGAAAAATTTCTTAAAAGATGAACTTGTTTCTCCAGATGTTGTCTAGAACTGTAGCCTGGTTGTATTGTAGATATATGTACCCTTTCTATTCAAAACAATGTACTGCCTTCTGTATACATCAAGGCAAATGCATATGCTATGGTCCTATGGATTATTTTATAGTGGGGTTTTACAGTGCGTTATTTAATGGACCACATCTTTTCTGTCTCCTTTGCAGATCCTGGTCCAGAGTAACTGTCTGTCTGAGCGGATCAGGGTCCTAGAGGGGGAGGTGGAGGAGGTCAGCTGTCCTGACATGGTGGACGTCATTGTCTCTGAGCCAATGGGTTACATGCTGCTCAATGACAGACTCATGGAGAGCTTCTTGCATGCCAGAAAATGGCTCAAACCCAATGGTAGGAGTAGACAAAACCCCCACAAACTGTTGAATCCATGTTTTAATAATTGTATAAATAAATAAAATACTCAAGTCATGACAAATGGATGAGAAATGGAGCAGATCTCTGTAAAAATGTGGGCACAACAGTCTCTGATTTTCCGGTGTTTGGCCTGCCAGGAGCAGCCTTAAGTCAAACCGGGGCCTATCCCTGCTCTCTTCCTCTTTCCGTGGTGGGCTGGTCCAGCCGGTCTGGCTGGACCAGCCCACCACGGCTGGCTGGGTGGATTCTCTCAAAGTCTTCTGCTCTTTATTCCGAACCCCAGGCTTCCTTATCTGTTGACTGACTATTTCTGTCATAGGTGATACATGTATCAGCAATAAACAGACTGAACAAAAACAGAGAGGTTTGAAGTAGCTAGCCTACTGGCCACAGCATCTGAATGCACAGTTGTTGCTATAGTCAAAATCTCCAGTTGATTTGAACAATTTTGGCTTTTTTTTTCAGACATCATTCAATGATGTTGCAGCAATAAAGCTGAAAAAAATACAGAATAAATAATAAAAATGTAGCAGCCACTATATTTACATGTGCAGCCTTTGCCATGGAGGTATTGTGATTTGGCTTGGACATACCCATCTTGCCATGGGACTTGATGGTCTCGTGTTGGGACTTACCTTTCTTGACTTAACTAGGTAAAATTAGTTTGACTTGACTTAAGACTGGACATCCTTGACTTGGGACATGTTAGTATTGACTTGGGACTTACCTTCTGACTTATCTTTCTTGAATTGTTACAAGTTGGTATTGACTTTTCTTGACATTGGTTTTGATGGGGTTGACTTGGGACTTGACAGTTAATTTGTTCCCCCAAAGTCACTTGTCAGTCTAAATGTCTGTCTGTCTTTATTTCTACCTCTCATGTTTAATGTCTGCCTCTCACTGTTACTTTAGCTTCATTATATTCATTTTCTGTCTGTCCTCATTATTAAATCCCCCCAGGTCTGATGTTTCCCTCCTATGGTGATATTCATCTGGCTCCTTTCAATGACGAGCAGCTCTACTTTGAACACTTCGCACGAGCTAGTTTCTGGTCTCACACACACACACACCACCATAAATCCATGCATGAGGACGCAAACACACTGGCTCCCTTTCTTCCCCCCTCTCTGTCTCTCTCACACAGACACATGTTCACAGGGCTTGACCTCAGTCAGGCATGTTTCCTGTTGGGTGTAAAACGCTCGGGTTCAGTCCAGTCCTGACTCATACAGAGCAACAAAGGTTTTGGCTGATATGATCTTTTGTAGGTCGATACGTTAGGGTTGAAGCTGATATTTTTTAGATTTCCTGTCAGGAAATTCAGTGTTTTCCCAGACTTTTATTCTTTAAATGAGGATTTGGTCCATGAGTTTCTCTGTAGTCCATGTTCAGATCTAGCACAGCCTTGAAGACTAGGGGTGTAAAAACTCCAGTTATAATAAAGCAGCTGATTTCTAAAATAAAAGTGTTCAAATCGCAATATTAATAGTTTGTTTAAAATAGCAACACAATTAACGAGGACATTATTCCTCTTTATTTGTTTTAGTTTTTTATCTGTGTTCAGCAACTTATTGCTGTTTGGGTAACCTTTTAACACATTTTTGCACCCTATCAAATGCAAAACTTCAGGCCTCATTCAGTCTGAATATTCTGTGTTCTGTGTTAAAGTATAGGCTACATCCAGCCTGGTCTTACCTCCAACTCATAAAATGATGGTGTATAAATGGCTCAATCAAACACAGGACTTTTACCCAGGAAGCCGCCGATTTTGCCCTGTTTGAAACTCAAAGTTGACATCTTTTAAGTCTCTCATCTCATGTTCTGGGCTACTGTAGAAACACTTATTTTTTAATTTTTTTTATTTGTTTAGTTCCACAGGATAGTTTTATTTCCACAAATGAGAAGGTGTATTCGGCTATATTCATGTATTTCTGGGAAATTTGGGCAGACAATACAACCTCTGTCATGCAGTTTGCTTGTGCACAAGTGTATGCAAGCATACCAGCGTGTGTGTTGCCATGGTCTGTGCCATTCACTGCTCCACCACTATGTGGAGGTTAGGCTCAGTCAGCCTTGAGGAATGAAGGTAAACTATAAACTGATGTTGTTCACCAAAAATATTTTAGAAGTGACACTGTAAACAGACTTTAATAACTAATTTCTTTATGCCAATAACAGCTGCAACATGAAGGTTCTGAAGCTTTACACCTTTTAATCCAATATTACACCCCTTTCACAGTTCTGCCTAATGTGAAACTATTTAATTTACTACTTGTTCCATAGTTGTGTGTTGTTCATCTCAGTTAGGAACCATAAAATCATGTCAATGTCAATTAGCTGACTGTGTAAATGACTTCATTGTTCAACTTTCTCCAGGCAGCAGAGAAGCTTCTACGGCGTTAACCTGAATGCTCTTCACGGTACTGCAGTGGATGAGTTTTTCAAGCAGCCTATAGTGGTACGTGTAACAGAACTCCATTTACTGCATGTGTCAAAAACGGTAACCTTGACACAAGATTGGCGTGTTATGGTATAAATGCATGTTACACAGTTAAAAATTGCTTCAAGCTAATTTTTTTTACATTCTAGCGGAGATCTTAACGTTTCTAAAGATGCAGAATATGTTATAAATGTGTGTTAATGAATGCAGAAGGAAGCAAAAATACTTTCATACAGAACATTGTAGCAGTCATATGTATTCTTCATGGCTTGCTGATTGGCTGATTGCCGGAAAAATGCATACCAGTGATTGGCAGCCATAGAACACTGCAGCCTGACAGGCATTACTCAGGGAGGAAAATTCCTCTTGTAGTCAATATAGTAGAAGCCCATAATAATAGTTACATCAAAGAATATTTTTCTAGCTTTTATTATTGTTATTTTAAATATTATATTGTGATTGACAAATTCTATTTTATTCTTTATTTAATGTCCTTTACAGGACACATTCGATGTGCAGATCCTGATGGCCAGGTCGGTCAAGCACTGCATCAACTTCATGGAGGTTAAAGAAGAAGACTTACACAGGTTAAATACATACGGTGATCATGGTTGATTAAGGGAGAGCAGGGCATCTGAATGACAGCCCCCCACTCATTTGTGTAATTAGGCAGAAATGCATACAGGAAAGTAAAAAGAAGACACATAAGTCGAGGCAGACGACCACCCAC